TTCAAGTTGCTTTCTTTAATGTACCAGCCAGACAATGGCTCTGCAGGGTGCAAGTGGCATCCTGTTAACACAAAGACACTGCACTGCCTGAAAGGCAATGCAAGTTTGAAAGCCTGCCCATGGGGAAGGAGGGCTTTTAGGTTGTGTCTTTGAGTCATCGACATAAACATCACAAGTTCCATATGGGAAAAAAGCTATGTATATTTTATTAACCTGGAACATGACCAATCTTTATTATAACGAAATAGCTTACCAAAGACCTCGAACATAGTGGGCACGTGCTACTCACACGCAAGGTGCTTTATGTATAATGATGAGTAATGTGATCATTGTCCTCATGATGTAGGGAGTCCAAAGTCCTTTATGTGGCTTATTAGGCCTAACTTGCCAAAAGAAATGTCTTCCTCTTTAGTCTATTTCCTCCTGGTCTCTACTTAATATTCTCATTGTTCACAGTTCTGACATTCAGTGGTTTCCACTGAATGGCTTTCAGCACTGGGGATATTTAAGGAATATAAGATTCTAGCTCTTGGACAGGTTTGGTGGTGCCTGCCTGCAATCTCAGCTATATGGGAGGTGGAGGTAGAAGACTCGTAGTCCAAGGTCAGCCCTGGGCAAAATGCATAACACCCCTATCCGAAAATAGCTGAAAGAAAAAAGGGTTGGGGGCATGGCTCAAGTGGTAGAGTTCTTGCATAGCAAGCACAAGGCCTTAAGTTTAGACCCCAGTCCTGTCAAAAAAAAAAGGGGGGGGGGTCCCAGTTCTTGACTAATTGTTGATAAGTCATTATGAAGAAGCTATTTTATTGAAACATCAAAAGATGCATTTTATCTTTGGATAGATATTAAAGTAAATGCCTACTACTGCTGCTAGGATTAAAGATGTCAAAATAGCCCAAGACTATTATGTTTCTCTCAATCTTTGCTATTTCTAAATTATTTTCTGTGATACTTCACAAATAAGTCAAAGCAGGGAACACTGGGCTGTTTTCCCTAAGGATGAGAGATTATAAACAGAAATCAGGTTCCATCCTTTGAACTGTTTAATAAACATCAAATCCTAAATACTATTTCCTTTCTCCCCCATAAGAAGTTGATTTTGACTACTTTGTGTTACTTGCTTGAGTTTTGTTGTTAAAATGAATTTTGTAAAATGCAAGATGCTTCATTTTTGTGCTGATGAAAATAAGAAGGCCTTCATGGCAAGGCCTGTGAGTTATTTCTGCCCTGATCTAAACTGCATCCACATGGGTACTTAGGACATTTCCCTGGGGAGTGTGAGAAGCATATGAGAAGCATGTGAGTCACATCAAGTTCTAAAACACAGGCTTTGGATTGTGGATACTGTGGTGGTGAAATTGAATAGAAAGAAAACCAGGAGAAATTATGGTTGAATCTGCAGTAAAAAGGAGAAAGAAGTGAACCTTAAAAAGGAGGGTTTTTTTTTTAATATAAAACAGATATTTAAAAAAATTAACAAAAACTGTACTTTATGCTGGAAGAGTACTTTTGGGAAGTGATTGGTCTTGATTTAAGGATTGAAATGAGATAATGAGAAACAGTGATTGTATTATTTTTGTTCCACATTATATTTTTACTAACAGATCTTAGCCAAAGGGTAGATTTTCTTATAAAATGTACCAGCCTGAAACAAAGACTTCCCAAGAACAATAAAGCCTTCTAAAAGGTTTAGCTTGATTCTTCTAGGTTTTGTCTTACCATAATTCCCAATGACATGTCTTTTCTGCTATGTAGCCCTAGGTGATAGTCAGGAATTTAGAAATGACCTTGACTATGTAATCTTCTGGGTAAAACTTCAATGTGCATGCTGACCACCAGTATCTCTTTAAAATTATCATTCAAATAAACATAAAATTAAATTAACATTCAGATCCAGCTAGTTGCTAGAGCCTAAATCTTTAGTTCAAAACAGCTCTCTGGCAATCCTGATGCTGCCAGACCATGCACTGCACTTTGAATAGAAGTGATTTTTAGAGATGATTTCATGTAATTCACCTTTTAAGGAAGATAATCTGCCTTTCTGCTTTCTGAGAAGCAGAAGAAAACAATTTTAGTATATTTCACATTGTTAATTCTATTCTGGGAAATAAAAGTGAGCCTGATATTAAGCAGCAAACATAGCAGCCATGCTAAAGATGGATTCAGATCAGTTTCATGCCTAAAATGATTGTAGATATAAATTTTGTCTTATAAAGCAGCAGTTTGTAAAGGGGATAAAGACAAACACAGTTTGCTTTGCCTGCTGTGGATATTTCCTGACTTCTGCTTCTCAACTATCAGTCATAGCTTGCTGCTGAAAGTACATCTAGAATATAGTCCCTATGGTCTGTACTATCATGACCCACCTTGATGGACTCATGAGAGCCACTAACTCCCTCTTCTGGCTGGAGAGCTAGCAATGCTAATATCCGGTTTGAGAAGCTAGGTGTAGAACAGAGAAGAGCAATTAGTTTGCCCCTGTGCTCTGGTTGGCAAAGAGCACTTAACTGTGTGCCTGATGTGCTGATTCCCAGAGGGCCTTGCGGTAGCTGGAGTCTCCAGGCTGGCTGTCTCTGAGCATCCTAACCCATTAGCCAAGACAGAGCCCCAGGGCAGCACTAGCTTTACAACAGTGTGAAGTCTTACCACACTTCATTTTGAGCATTGAATGAAAGATATACAATGCAGAAGTCCATGTCCTATTCTTGAAATCTTTTTATATTTTCCATCCTGTTAGTTTTTTTCTGCTATAGTCTTAGACCATCTTTCTTCTTTTCTTTGTCTTGTTCTTCTTAGCAAAATCTCCCTCTAACAACTTGTGGG